TTTCAAGGGACCAGTGTACCATCAGTCCTATTATGTGATTTGGATTGTTTTCTTTTACTGAGTTAAGAAGTTTCCTTTTATTTCTTGGCCTTGAAACTTAAATAATGGAACCCTAGTTGTCTTTTTTCACAAATCACGACCTTTGGGGCACTCAAAGACTAATTGTCAAACCCTGAATAGTGGCAGACAGGTGGGACTCGGTAGCAAGAAAATAACGAAGTGCATCTATTTACTTCTTTGCTGCATAGGCGGCAGTAGTGAGGTTATACATCGTAGGATGCTAAGTTGGCTTTGCCTGATACAAAATTAAATAATATCATTAATAGATTGAAACACTTATCTTTGCTGCTTTCCTGACCCACAACTCTTGTGTGTCTCTTTTTTTAGGAATTGGTGTGGATTTAGTGTGCATGGGAGAACAACCATTACATGCCGTCCCATTGTTCAAGGTAATTAGATTTTGGATTTGCTTCCTAAAGGCATGTTGGGGAATAATTAAACACAAATAAGTTGGAACAGTTCCACATCCTACTTTGTTTTCTAGCTTATCCGTGGTGGCTTTTTCCTTTGCAGCTACACAATCGGAATGCTCCTCGGGATTCTCGCCTGGGCGATGACTACAATATTCCTCACTGGATAAACCATAGGTGGGTGTGGTTTTGATTGATAGTAGAGAGTAAAGGTTTCAGAGGGCTTCCTTGCTATTTTTTCTTCAAATATTCTAACCCTGGGTTTGAGCCCCAGTAGCACAAAAAAGATTATGGAAGCTGAAGTTGTAACATTTGCTTAAAGCTTCTTTACGTGGTGTGGTGGCAGCACGCTGTAGTCCCAGCACTCTGAAAGGCAGGAGGATTGCAGGTTGCAAGTTCAAGCCCAGTCTGGGCTACTTAGTCAGCTCTTGTTTCAAACTGAAAAATAGAAACAGACCGGGGATATAGCTCAATGCAGCGACCATGGGTTCAAACCATTGATAAAAAAAGGCAGGAACATAGAACTATCTATGATAACTAAAAGAAACACAAGCAAACACACAAACAAAAAAACTCAGATTTTGAAGGTCTTTTTTCTACTACTATTCCCAAATTATCTTTCCTACTCGCGCACACTGCAGCAGACTGGCTCTGTGCTTGACCTCCTCTGTTTATAGAAAAGTCCCCTGTGCCTTTTCCACGTGGGACGCAGTCTCAGTGTTCCTGGTGATTACAGCTCAGGATAGCTTCTTTCATCCCTCAGCCAGTGCTACTGCTTTATCCTAGTCCTTGTTTTAGAAAAACCCATTGTATTAATCTTCTTGGTGTTTGCATTTCTAGTGTCTCCCTTCTTCAATACATTCTCTAGGCCAGGATTTCTCACCCTTGACCCTACTGACATTTTGGGCCAGCTCGTTCTTTGTCATTAGGGCCTGTCTTAGGCGTTGTAGGCCATTGTGCAGCATCCCTGGCCTCTATCCACTAGATGCCTACCACGTACTACCATGTACCCTCAGCTGTGACAACTGAGAAGATCATTGCCACATGACTTCTGAGTACTATAATCCCCATAGTCTCCCCTCCTTGTTGAGAATCACTTCTTTGACCAGTGACTTGTCCTCCTCCTCCTTCTTTTTCTTTTTTGTCTTTGTCTTTTTATTTTTTGGAAATAGGCTGGCCTTGAACTCACTGTGTAGCTCAGGCTGGCTTCAAATTCGTGATGATCCTCCTGCCTCAGCCTCCTGAGTAGTGGGATAATAGGCACGTGCCACCACACCTGGCCTATTAGTTATTGTCGTTAATAGGGTTTAAACCCTAGGCCGTTGTGCTAAATGCTAGACAAGTATTCTACCCCTGATACTAGGGATTAAACCCAGGGCCTTTGCATTGGGCTACAACCCAGCCTTTTAAATATGTTTTTAAGCCAGGTGTTGTAGCGTATGCCTGTGATCCTAGCACTAGGAAGGCTGAAGCAGGAGGATTGCCTCCCATTTGAGGCTGGCCTCACTATGTAGTGAGATTAAGGCCAGCCTGAACTATGTAGCAAGACCTTCATCTCAAAAAAACAGTCAATTAATGAAAATTTTTGTTTTGAGATGGAATCTCATTAAATCATTAAATTGTCCATGCTAGAGTCAAACTTTTGATCTCCTTACCCCAGCTTTTCATATTGGGATTACAGACATGTCCCACCACACCTGACCCCCCTTCCACTTAATTTTATTTTAAGGCAAACTCTCACTTAGTTGCCCAATGTGCCCTTGAACTTGTGGTCTTCTTGCTTCACCCTCTCAAGTAGCTGGGATTCTATGCATGCACCACCACACTTGACCTCAGTATTTTGTTTTGTTTTTTCTTTTGGAGACGCCTCACTGAGCAATCCCAGCTGGCCTCATACTTGTGATTCTCCTGCTTCAGGCTCCTCAATGCTAAGATTATAGATACATGCCACTATGCTGGCCCCACAGTCATTTAAAAAAAAACAACAGCAAAATTTTACTGTTTTTTCTCTTTCATTGCTCATGCCAACTTGATAAAGACTAAAATATTTATAACCTCTTTTCCCACCAGTTGCCTTCTTTCATGTGTGGCGCATCTTGTCCTCACTTCTGGGCCTTTCTACCTGGAGATTCTCCCCATCTGCCCTTTCCTTGCAGTTGTCTGTTTGTCCTTCAAGGTGCAGCTCCAGCATCTCTCTTCAGTGAATTCTTCCTGTACTACCTGTGATAGGCAGTAGCTGCTTTCTCTGCAGTACTTCCAGAACATTCTGTCCTTCTCTTTTTGTTTCTCTTAGGCTGTCACCCATGAAGGGCAGACCACTTTGTTCATGCCTCAAGCTCAGTCAGTTTTGGTTTCTGTTCATTTGCAAATCTGTACAAGATACCAATTTGACAACTCATCAGAAATGTTGATTTTGGCCTTCTAGTATCTATAGTATAGGTTATATTCCCATCAATATTGTGATTACTGTTAGTTCTCTATAGTTACTCATAGGTGAAAAACCAGAAATGAGTGAAGAGTAGTTGTTTGGCCAGCTTTGTAAGGGTGATGTGGTCACATTATAATAATCCTATTCTGAATATGTCCCTGTCTTGTCAGAGAGCTAGTAAAATACTGTCAGTGACCACACCAGACCATGTTTTTCCTTTATATATCTGTAGGTAATTGTACTGTTTTTTAATTGTTTATTGGTATATTTTAGGTGTACATAATGATCACATTCATCATAGGGAATTTGTACCTTACATGATATATCTTAATTTTTTTGCATATGGTTATAGATTTGATAGAAAGTGGGGATTGGTTACATTCTATACCTCATTTACAAGTTAATGATAAAAGAGAATATAGTGAGATGTATGTGGAATAGAAAAGGTACAGAGTCTTCATTCACTGTTAGCCTACTCTTCATAAGGGTGAGCTCCAGTTTTCTTCTATGCCTGAGCTTGGGATTTAATGGTGTCAGCCATCTTTTCTTGAATATTAACCTTTTGCCTTTCTTGTCTGGATTTTTCTTGCTTACTAAGTGATGATTAATCAGTGAGTCCAGCATCAGGCTGCGTGATCAGTCAGTGGGTTCAGCATCGTGCTGAGTTATCAAGGTGAAAAGTGTCATGGTATAAATAGACTCAGTCTCTGCCACACGGAAGACTTGTGATCCAGTTAGGAAGTAGGACTAGCACACGCAGAATAACTCATGGGAAAAAGAGAATAGAACAGTAGTTAAAAACATTGTTAACATTTTATAGTAATCATAAAAGAAGCTAGAATTGGCAAGATCAGTGAAAACTTAAAGACATTTGCAGGTGAGCTGATCCATATTTGGGGGCACAGATGTGTCTTACAGTTTAGATTAATGACCCTGTCTGTATATTCTTTTCACAGTTTCTACACATCTAAAAGCCAGCTCTTTTGTAACAGTTTTACCCCACGAATAAAACTAGCAGGAAGGAAGGTAAGTTTTACCAACTCACAGAACCTTCAGGAGCTGCCCCACAATGCTATGCTTTATTATGACCTGAGGTCCCCTTACTTCCCCACAGGGTCATAAATAGAGTTTAAGAAATTCATCTTAGAACTTTGCAGTTTGTAGAGTAGACAAAAATATAACAAGGCGTGGACTGGGTGTGTAGCTCTGTGGTAGAGTGCTTGCCTAGCATGCACAGGTCCCTGAGTTCAGTCCCCAGCACCACAGAAACAAAGCAGTGCAAACTCCAGACTGCAAGAAATATCTACCCCTGTAATCCCAGCATTTAGGAGGCTCAGGCAGGAGGACTGTGAGTTTGAGGCCAGCATAGACTACATAGTAAGACCTTGCCTCAAAAAAAAGGAGGGGGAACAAATAATTCATTTTATTACGATGGGACTTCAGATACTGAGATGACTCACTAGTGGAGCAAAGACAATGATAAGGATGAATATTGTAGCAAAGGGGAAATATAATAAAAGCATCACAGTAGGAAAGAAATGCAAATTTCAGACAAGAGTGGAGGTTCTTTTTTCTTTTATTTTTTGCTTACTGAATAGATTTAAAATATATAAATAAGTATGGCATGTATTGGAAAAGCATGTTGAGTTTGGTACCTGAGTACCCTGGTTGATATAAGATACAATTGCAAAGCAGTTCAGCCCTGTATATCAAGAGCAATGCAAAGGTTCACATTATTTCACCAGATAATTTCAGTTTGGGTGATGTAGAGTAAGGAAATAATTGAACATACTATGTGCAGAATAGATCCTGGTCTTACAGTGAAAAGTTGAGTAGCAAAAGCAGTTACTGAAGAAATTGTGCAATACTCAGTTGATGGAATATATCTGTAACTAATAAAAATGCCATTTTAAGGACCTGAAAATGTTTTTGATATAGTGTGAGTAGAGAAACAGGCTGTTGTATTTGTAGGCCCTGTTCCAGAGTGCCCTTACTCATCTTGCTGTTCATAGGAGAGCTAAATTTTCTGAAGGTTGTCCCATTTGTTCCCCCCTCCCC